CTCTTCTCTCTTGTCTCCAGCAATTCAAACTCCACCCAGGCTTAATGAATTAAAAGCTCTGGAATTTGCCTAATTCTCCAGAGAGCTTATTAAAATACAAATGCAGAGCCTCCTTACCAGAGATCATCTTCAGTGATTCTACAGCAGGACACAGACATCCATTTGTGTCAAACTCCAGCCAGTCCTGGTGGGGTAGGTCCAGCAAGGAGCATGGGTGTAAGCAACTTCAAAGCCACCTGCCCCCTGGGCACAAATACACAAGCTATGCCCTAGACAATGATGGTGAACCTTTTAGAGCTTTCAGTGATACACACACAGCTCACTGTGGCATACATGCCATAGGTTGACCGGGGAGGCAGTGAAGGAACAGAAATTCTGACACAGGAGTCAAGCTTCTGAGAGGCAAGGCCTGGAAAAGAGACTTTCTTTACCATCTCGCTTCCTTATAGCTCCCTTTCCTGGTTTCTGGCCCTGATTACCAATCCACTAGTGAATGCCTTTGGATGGAGACCTGTGAATGATTTCTCGGGAGCCTTATAAAAATGATGGTGCTACTGAGATTTCACCTTACCACAGAGAGAATCATCATCATCGGGAAATCAAATAGTAACAAATGCGGGTGAGGCTGTAGGGGAAAAGGAACCCTTCTCCACTGTTGGTGGGAATGTAAATGAGTAGTCACTGTGAAGTCAGTATGGAGATTCCTCAAAAACCTGAAACTAGAGATTCCATTTGACCCAGCTGTTCCCCTTCTAGGTATCTTCCCAAAAGAGTCAAAGGCATCATATTACAGTGATCCATGCATGCTCATGCTTATAGCAGCATAATTCATAGTAGCTAAATCTTGCAAGTGGCCTATATGTCCATCAACAGATGAATGGATAAAGAAAACGTAGTATTTATAGTGGAGTACTACTCTGCCATAAAGAAGGATAAACTAGAGTTATTTATAGGACAATGGATAAATCTTGAGATCACATGTTAAGTGAAATGAATTGGACACACAAGCCTGAGTGGCACATGATCTCAGAGTAAAAGTAAAGAGCAAATTAAAAGATAATAGGAAGTAGGGAGATAGATCTTTCTCAAAAGGCAGAGAATCAAGAGATGGAGGGAACCAGGGAAGGATAGGGGATGAGAAAAAGAAATGAGGATGTCTTGGGGACATGTAGCAGCAAGGAATGTAAACATGATGTACTGAAGCAGGACTTAAAGGAAAACAAGTTTTCCCACCCTTGGGCAGCTTCCTCCCACCCCCAGTATATAACTCCTTGTTCTGGTACAGATAAAATTGGCAACTATGTTCTGTAAACAAAGTCTATGTCATCTTGTTCTCATAAGATTCAAAATGCTCTGTTTTCTTTCAAGGCTGAATTACAAAGCTGTCTGCCCTTGCCCTCTTTCTGTAAACTCACTTGCTACTTCACTAGAAAGGCCAACCGCTTCGGCCAAATGTATAAAACTGGAATCTTTCCTGTGTTCTCTGCTCTTCCTCTGAAGCGAGTCTGCTGAGCTGGTGTTCAGTTAAAGCTTAGAATAAGGTTTTCGTGTTTCCCAGCGGTCTCTCCAGTCTCTTAAATCCTGCAACAGTACTACATCTGTACTAGTGAACTAAAATAAAATTTAAATATCAAAACCAACTAAGAAAAATGATCATGGTAGAACCAGTGTAATAGATTGAGAGAAGGAAATCTCAGGGCGGTCCAAGATCAGGCCATTTGTGCTACTGCACCCTGGGGGCTCTGTCTTCACCCAGGACCTGTGGATAGCCCCTATGATCACTACTTTCAAACTTCAGCAGGACCCACTTGAGGGTTTGTTAAACCCAGCTCCCAGGGACCCACTCCTAGAGCCTCGGATGTAGTAGCTCAGGTGTGGGCCCAGGTTAGATTCCATTTTCCCAAGTTAGTTAAAGCTTAATAAGGTTTTCGTGTTTCCCAGCGGTCTCTCCAGTCTCTTAAATCCTGCAACAGTACTACATCTGTACTAGTGAACTAAAATAAAATTTAAATATCAAAACCAACTAAGAAAAATGATCATGGTAGAACCAGTGTAATAGATTGAGAGAAGGAAATCTCAGGGCGGTCCAAGATCAGGCCATTTGTGCTACTGCACCCTGGGGGCTCTGTCTTCACCCAGGACCTGTGGATAGCCCCTATGATCACTACTTTCAAACTTCAGCAGGACCCACTTGAGGGTTTGTTAAACCCAGCTCCCAGGGACCCACTCCTAGAGCCTCGGATGTAGTAGCTCAGGTGTGGGCCCAGGTTAGATTCCATTTTCCCAAGTTCCTGGTGCTGGACCAGCTGCTGGCCCAGACAGCCAGCTCTAGAGGCATTGTGCATGCATCTAAAATATCAGAAGTCAGCCAGGAGTGGTGTTTGCCTGTACTCTCAGTACTCTGGAAGGCTGAGACAGGAGGATCACAAATTCAAGTCCAGCCTGGGCAAGTTAGCAACTTAGTTAAGACCTTGTCTCAAAATAAAAAGGGCTGGGGCTGTAGCTCAATGTAAAGGCCCTGGATTCACTTCCCAGTCCTTAAAAAAAAAAAAAAAAAAAAGTCACTTAGTGTCACTTAGACTACCATGGCAGGTACCCAGCGATGACTCCAGGAAAGGTAAGCTGCTCCCAGCTGGGCGCAAAGATGTGCAGAATCATCTGTTCTGTCCACATCGGCTGCCCAAATGACCCAACAAGGCCTGGATGATATCAGGTACAAAAGTCACTCTGGAATGTTACAGATTGTCTGTCACCATTGGACAGATGCTCCTTGAGGAAGCCATGTCTCACTTTGTTCTCTTTCTGTCTCTCTCTCTCCTCTCTCCTCCTGACCACTCCTTCTTCCTCCCTCCACGTGCCCCTGTCCTCTGCCCCCCCCCCAGTGCATTCCCAGAAGCAAAACAGACAGACCTGCGTCCGGAAGAGCCTCATATGCGCCTTCGCCATGGCCTTCATCATAAGCGTGATGCTGATCGCAGCCAATCAGATCCTGCGGAGTGGCATGGAGTAGCTGCCGCCTCCCGCCGGCCACGCTGTTGCCAGCTCACCGCGCATGTGCATGGCCCGCGGGCAGACTGTTCTTTCTCACAGCAGATCTGGACCTAAGGACGGATGCAGACCTGGTACAGCTCAGCAAAGAACCCAAAGTTGCAGTGCAGCCGGGATTGCGCTATTCAACTTCATCTCCTTGGCAGGGACACCAAAGGGCTGTCTTCAACGCTTTAATGGTTTTGTTTCCTAATGCAATAAATAGCCAGGAGTTCCAAATTTTTGCTTCAATCGCCAGTAGTGACTTCGAAGAAGAACTTCATTTTCGTGTTGGAATTCCAGTGGCCATCCAGGGGTAACGGTGGTATCAGAGAGTGTGCAGAAGAGAGCGTGAACAATATTCACCTCCATCCATCCCCTGTTCTTCAACCCAGGGGTCCAGAGACTCCCGGCTGCAGCCGGCCCTCAGAGCCTAGAGGCTGCCTTCTGGGTTGCCACAGAAGAGGGCACTGACCATCTCACCTTGGCTTCCTTCCTCCACCCAGTGGAGACCCCCCCCCACGGCATGAGGGGAAAGCCATTAAGCGGGGTGCAGCCCCTTGGCTGTCTGCAGCTGCACCCCACCGCTTCCGTTCTTACTGCCTTTCCTACAGGATTCTTGTGGGTAGAGTCAGGGCGCTCTCAGTTGGTTCCTGTGGCACTTGGCTTTCTGTTCCTAGAGCCCATCCTGCACCAGCATTTTTGGGAATCTGCAAAGAGCCTCCCTCCCAGCTTCGCCCCCTGTGCTGCCATTCGAGGCAAGAGAACCGTGGTCATGGGCATCTTCTAACAGACACATAGACAGAGAGACCTGGCTTCTTCGTATGTGACATCTTCTTTAAATGCTTACTCTGAATATAAGCTTGTCCTCCCTCCCACACTTGTCCCTGCTTCTTCAGGGCAGAAGGTGAGGCAGACTGGGAGAGGGGAGAGGACCAAGACTGGGGTTGAGGAGGTGTCAGCAGCCCACACCCCAGACATCCAGAGTCCAGGAGCCCCCAGCAATCCATGCCAGACAACCTCTGTCAGTTAAGGGCCATGTGCATCTCCCCTCCCCTCATCTTGTAGATTGTGTTGCCAGTTAGTCTTTCCCAGCTGAAAAGAGAAACACACTCCAAAACCGAAAGATGGAAAGATCAAACTACTGTCTTTTACATATCCTCTGGCATTCAGATTCTGTAACTGACTCATTCAAAGAAGGAAAAAAAAAAAAGATAATGACCTAGCCAATTGGACAGGTAATTTACTGACAGAATACTTCTGTTGGGGAAGGGAACTGAAACCAGTGGTCTGTTTTCAAACCATACAAAGTCTCTCATTTCCTGACTTTCCTAGATTCCACATCAGCCACCTCTGTTAATTCTAGCTTGCATAGTAAGATTAGCCAGATTAGCCAGTAATCTCTAGGTGTGCTATTCCCTTTTGTACTTCTCTGAGCTCAGGTCTTTATTTCAGTAATGGAATGATCTCGCTCCCCATTTCTTTCGATTATATCCTAAAGCTACATGCTTCTCCCCCAGCCATCCCCGGCTTTCTGTCAGTATTGAGGCAACAGAATCTCTCCTCTTTCAAAGCAGTGGGTCGGATTTTTGGTGCAACGAGTGATCCCCAGCCTGTCCTCAAGCCCTCCTTTCCTCTATGCTTCTCCCTTACTGCTTTCTTAGACATAGAGCACCGAGATCTCCGTTTAGGGTCTTCTTCCAGTTCACCTCTGCAAGCCCTCCCTGCAACACAGCGTGGGACAGCTGTAGAAACTTTCCCACCATGGGAAAGTGCAAATATTCACCATGAGCACAAGTTAAACTAGGGTTTGAGCCATAGTATGGAAAGGGAACAGATCTAAGTTCCCAAGAGTCCAGGGGGCAGACAGTTCCTCTAAGAGCCACGCGAAATCTGGTGTACAGGCCAGGCCAAGGAAGGCAGCAGCCTGCCCTGCCCTGCCACCTTGCCCGTCACACACCTGCCCTTTCTGTCTCTCCCTTCGGCTGAGTCTCCATAGTGCCCTTAGGATCAGAATCTTAACCTAAAACACGCTAAATACCCATTAGATGACTTCCCTTGTCCTCTTCCTGCTGGAGGTGGAGGAGGACACAGTAGGTCCTGCAGGGAAATGCTTCGCTACCTGCTGCTGACCCTTGAACCTTTAAACCACATTCCCCTGAGGACAAGGGTGAAAGACCTCAAGTAGACTGACTAGATGACCAGGGATGAGTCCTTAAGGATCCCTGCCCGCTGAGAGGGAGCTAAGACTGACTATCGGGGCAGAAAAATAAATATTTCAAAGGCTTCTTTTTTTCAAGTCCCTCTTCCTCCCACTGGAGATGTTGACCCCAAAGAGTGCTGCCAGAGTGTGGGTAGATTTCTTCAGCAGCGAGATGAGCCACTGTGCAGGGGTGGGATTAAGAGGAATTCTGGAAGGGCACCAACAGCCTGTTCCCTACCAAGGCACGAGCATCCTTTCCCTTAAAAGGAGCCCTCTCCTCTTTCCCAGTGACCTGGAAAATCAGGCCAGGAGCACATCCAGGAGAACACATCCTCCTGGTGAATATTTCTAGGGAGCTAGGGCACAGTGGAACCCACAGTATACTCTCTGATGGCCCAGAAGTTAGCCTCCCGCTGTGGTAACCTTGTACAAGCACCCAGTGGCTGCAAGATAGTGTGTGGAGACAGCCTACACTAGAGACATTCCAGGCTTTCGGGGCTGAGTTTGTTTCTGTGATGCATGCCCTAGCTGCTGTGCTTGGAAGAGCTGTCTTAGATGTCAAGAGAGGGCCAGGCAGCTCTATCCCCAAAATCTCATGCTAGGGCTCCCCACAAGTCAGCATCCTTATCACAGTGACTGTGAGGCTCGGGGACTCAAGGTTCCAGAAGGTCCTGGTCCTGCATGACCAAGAAGGCCACCAGGCTGAAGCTGGAGGTGACCAGCACGAACTGGGAGAGAGCACCCAACCTTCACTGTCCTGCCAGTGACCAGACTTTGAGTCATTAACCAGGTGGCTGAGGGATTGGCAAAGGAAGCTTGGCTTGTTCTTGTTGCAAAAGCAGGTGTTCCCCTCCCCTTCCCGCAGATCACACCAGTGATGATTAGGAAGATGTTTCATTAGGGAGAAAAAGAGAAACAGACCCTGGTTCTCTTAAACCTTAAAAAAAAAAAAAATCTAGCTCCTACCAGTCCAGATGCAGGCAGAGCCCTCATACAAGACCCAGCATCCAAAGTATTAGCAGTGGCTTCCAGAATGTGCGTGGGTCCCACGTGACCCATCTGTAAGAAGGAGAAAAAAAAAGATCACCATGGTAACCATTGCATTCCACCCTGAGTATGCCAAGGCACACAAAAATAGGGAACATTTTCTTAAAGAACACTTGGGTTCTGCCTGATTGCAACCTGTCTTCCTGCATCCATATCCTGCTGGGAGAAGAAATCATCCTGTGAGATTCTGGGTGGCTTCTCTGCCTTTTCCTCTTGTGTTGGAACTTGTCCTTCCATTTACTCAGGAGAAAAAGCTACCTGTAAGCCTGGTAGCAGCTGCCCCACTCCTACCCTCCACCCCACCTCCCAGAGCAAGAATCCCCAAATCTAAGCAAAAAGGCCCAAAAGAAAAGTCATCTGTAAGGCAAAACATATTTTAAGCCTCTAGTCTTTAAAATCATCTGTTTGCCTGTTGAGAAGCCAGAAATGTGAACTTAAGTGAACTGAGGTTACCTCGTGGTCTTAGGCAAGCATGGTGGTTGCGGAAGTTTCTCTCTGGGTGTTTTATTTGCAGAGAGCAAGATGCACACTCGCAGTCTTCTGTCTCCATACCTGCTTCTGTCTCAGATTTCACATGACAAATGGTCCACTTTCTTGTGATTATCCAAAGATGGGCAGCTCGTTTTGACAAGAACTCTCCACCCGGTCTCCCAGCCACTGAATGATAAAGTGATAGACCTAAGTGATGGATCTAACATACATCTGCTCAGTTTAAATCCAGGCTCAGGCCATAAATCAAAGAGAGTTTTGCACAAAGTTCTTAACTGGAAGCTAGCAGCTCTGGGGAGGGGACAACAGGCGGGCACAGCCAGAGTAAGAAGGGTGTGGCCTCCCTGGGTTGAGCTGGGCTGGCCTCAGCAGCTGCATGCCCTGGAGTCCTTTTCTGCTGTGTGCTTTGTTACTATCCTTGCAGAAGCTGCTGAGCTTGGCTCTTCCCTGGATGCCTCAAATCCTATTGGGTCATTTTAGCGCACTGACTGTTTCTCCCAAGAACCACAGTTGTTTTATTATTTACCCTGCAAGGCGCGGTCCTTTTTTATATAATGCCACAATGACGCAGCTGAACTGAGACTAAACTTCGAAACATTGGTGCATGCTGGTCCTATTACTAGGAGGATTGCAGAAGGGCGTCCTCTGTAGAACATGTCTGAAATGACCTTTCTCATTGGCCTCTTCAGAGATGTCCATGAGGCCAAGAATCTGAGCTCTAAAGGCCTTGCTATAGCCATCTTCCCTCACGGCTGGCTGCCCAACTCCCCCAAAGGGAAAGATCCATCAGAAATAGACAACAGGCATTATTCAGCAGCAAAGGTTTTCAATTTGAATTATTTATAGTGATGGCCAAATAGAGGAGGATTTGGGCTGCCTCTTATGGACCCTGTCTCCATGATAATTTAAGTGTCAGAACTGTTCAGCTTCACTTCATACTTGCTTTGACTTAGTCACTCAGGGGACTGTCCTTGGTGATGTGGCCTTGCCAGAGACAGCTGGTTTGGAGGAATAAGGTCAAGTGTCCCAACCAGCTAAGCATTTCTCTTAGTACCCTATGCTCATTATGGATGTACATTTTAACAGTGATGGTTCTACTTAATATTGGTTTGGGATCTACTTCATATGGCCTCAAGGGATATGAAGATAATGCTCAAAAGTCTGAGACAAAATGTATTTGGTTCAGTTGCCTTGAAATGTTCCACCAAGAATGAGGTTTTTCCAGTCCCTCAAAGACATTTTTCTCAAAGTTTAACCAGCCTGTTGCTCCCATTCCTACCTTGAGTAGTTCACCAGTGGGGCAACCCTTGAACCCCCACTTGCTGTCTAGAGTCTCATTCACCTCTGATGAGATGGGCTAGCTTTCAAATCAGTGATTCTCACACTGTCAGAAGTTATTGTCCAAGTTAAAAAGGCAGAGGCTGGAATTTTCCAGTGGGGTAGCAGAGCAGGCTAATTAGGAAGGAATATTCCAGGGAATGCAACATTCAACTGTGATACTGCTCCATCCCTGGACCTGAGAGATAAAAAGGAAGTTTTAAGAGGTTGCAGCTGCTGGCCTTGGAATATCTGCCCTGCGTAGCTGGTCTGTCTTGGAAGCATACAAGGGATAGAGTGCCACAGGGCTGCCCATCAGCCGGCTGCCAATGATGTGCTCTGTGAATTTCAAGAGGAAGAGGCCCCCCTTTCCTGGGAAGATGCTGACACCTGCCAAGACCAGAAAGGCTTTTTCAGGTCTCTGAAATCTGCTGAACATTGGCCAGGAAAGCCAAGCAGAGAAACTGAATGGTAGTCAGTGCTGTCACATAGGGAGGACCTAGGCACCGGGACCCTCCACCAAATGCTAAGCCGTGTCAAGTGGCTTCTCTCAGTGGCCTCACATTTTATCTCTGGAGCCAGAGGGACAGTAAACCACAAACACTCTCCCATTGTGACATTGGGCTTGGTACAAAAGCCAGAGAGAGCATCCACTGTGAGACAGTCTTGAGATCCCCCACGAATTGCAATCTGGGCTGGCAGCTTCTTTTTTAATACAAGTCTCAAGGGGGAGGCAGCTGTGATAAAGTATCCCTTTTGGTGTCTACTGTCCATATACAAAACACCAACTGGTCTATGTCAGATGTGTCGTGTCATGCAGGAGAGAGGTTTTGCTTATTCCCTGAGGACCTGCTGATTCGAGGCAGCATCAAAAATGGGCTTTGTGTCCTCATCTTAGCCACCACAGGCCACGTGAATCCGAATTCGTAAGCAGAGAGAAAGCCAAGTTCTAAGAAAAGAGGCTTGGTTTCTCCATCCAGGGATGCCTAACTGGAAGTTACTGAACAAAGAGCACAATTTCCAGTCATTTCTTTCCTTTTTTTTTTTTTTCTTTTCTGGTCACCAGAACAGCAGCAGTTCCAGTAGATGTGATAGAGGTTTGTAATTATTTGTAGCACTGGAGAAGGAAGAAATTCATGACCTCTGGTGATTGTCAG